ATTGAAATGACTACTATTTAATTATAGTTATTGTTTTATTTTTTAATTGTTTGTTTTTGAATTGCTCTAATACAATAAAAACGTGTTTAATTCGTATACCTACAGCTAATTTTCCGTTCAAAATTAAAGATTTTATTAATTTTGGTGTAGGTTTCTTTGTACTACTCTGTAGTAAATTTAGTTGTTGCTTGGGAAGCATTACTAAAATATCCACTAAATGTGTTTAATTCACGTCATTGTTTTTGTTATCAAAAAAATAAAAAATGTCCAGCTGGAACACCCTGTATCTAATAGCGATAAAAATTGGTATTGTTAAAAATTGGTATAGTGGGATAGGTAGTGCTCTAAAAAAATCCCTAATAGTACTTTTCGAAATTTCGACCCCAAAAAGAGATCACAGTTGGCCATGAGTTTAGTCGTCAAAACAAGTGACATATGCGATTAAAGCCTTTTTTAGAGATCTATCCAACAAAAAAAATGCAAATTTTACGAGGGTTTAATAAAAAAAATAAAAAATGTTCAGCTGGAACACCCTGTATCTAATAGCAATAAAAATTAGTATAGTGGGGTTATAAGTGTTGCCGAATAATAATCCGTGGTCACTTTTGCTCTGAAAAAATCCCTAATAGTACTTTTCGAAATTTCGAAACCAAAAAGAGATCACAGTTGGCCATGAGTTTAGACGTAAAAACAAGTGACATATGCGATTAAAGACATCTATCCAACAAAAAAAAATTACGAAAATCGGTTGTAAAATTCAAATTTTACGAGGGTGGTAAGGTCTTAAGCGGGACACACTGTATATAACCAAATCGTATAATATGTATATATTGGGATTTTTAACATTGACGTAAACCCTGATGATGCCTCAAAGGCGAAACTAGTCGGTTTTTAAAATAAACCAAACCAGCAGAGAAGTGCCTTTTATTCTATAAACAACATAATTTATTTATATTACCTACCTATTTAAATAATTATTAAAATGCGATAATCAAAATAATGTGCGTTGCCTACCACTACTTTTCCAACTTAAAAGGGGAAGTTGGCCAATTCCTTAATCTTCTTATATCTGTAAAAAAAGTTCCAGGACGGCCTTTTCTTTGCCCCACAAATAATCTTAGGGGATGTGATTATTTACTTTAAAAAATGGCGAATGCGCCGGGATAGAGATTTAAAAAATTAATTAATTACGCGCACGGTGCGTTTGACGTTTCGTCATCAAATATTGCAAAAGTTCTCTGTGGGCTCCCGGGCGCGTTATAGACGAAATAATTTTTTTTATCTCTATCCCTAAGGGACACTCAAAAATCACATTGATTCCGGCGCATAAAAATAATATACAATAGAATGGTAGATTTTCTAAATAAGTATAACCTAATAACTGACTCACAACACGGTTTCAGAAAAAAACTTTTCAACTGAAACAGCAGCCATTCAGCTTATGCAGTTTGTTTTTGATGAACTGGATAAGGGTAAACATGTTATGGGTTTATTTTATGACCTTAGTAAGGCTTTTGACAAAATAAATGCAAGCTTCCTTATAGAAAAATTATCTAAAATTGGGTTTAGAGGTAAAATTTTGGAATGGTTGCGATCATATGTGCCAAATAGGCAGTTTAAAGTAAAAGTTAACAATTCCTTATCTGAAAACTTTAAAAATGATCTAGGTATTCCTCAGGGTTCGGTTCTAGGTTTTCTTTTGTTTACAATTTATATAAATGACTTACCTAAATTTATTATGGGTAAACTTACAATGTATGCCGATGATACATCGGTTGTGGTATCAGCACCGAATCCTGAGAAACTTAAACAATATGTTGATGAGGTTAACAACAATTTTAAAAAATGGTGCACCCGAAATCGTCTTATTTTAAATTCTGAAAAAACTGAATATGTATACTTCTCTCTCCGTTTAAGTGGATTGAGTAACCCTAATAACCTTAATTTAAAAATATCGAAAAAGGTGAAATTTTTGGGGCTAATAGTGGATGCTCAAATAAACTGGGATAACCATATAGATAACCTTTGCCAAAAACTAAGCGCTTCAAACTTTGCCTTGATGACACTAAACAACAGTCTATCTTATACATCACTCTTAAATGCCTATTATGGACTTTTTTACTCGCACATATCTTATAATATAATTTTTTGGGGAAGAGGAACATCAGCAAATAGAGTGTTTATTATGCAAAACCGAGCAATCCGAATAATGTTTAACCTACCTGGTAGGGCTTCCTGTAGAGATACTTTTATAAATAAAAAATTACTAACGTTGTATGGAATTTATATATACAGGGTGTACCGAAATTACTGCACCATACTTTAACAGCAGATTCCACTTGCAAAAATAAGAAAAAAAGTCCCTATAAATATAGATTGAGAAATGCCTCCTAAGGGAGCTACAGCCCCCGAAAAGGGAGCCCCTGAATATGGTTTTTATCTAATATTTAGAAAAAAGTAGAAACACCCTGTTACTTACTACATGAAACTGTCACCTGTCTTGAATTATTCTATTTTTTCCTAAACATGGCAGTCGTATTCCAAGGACCACGCGAGTCTATTTCTATGGTTGTGATTTAATTGTGAATTTTTATGCCATTTAAAATAATTTTCAAATCGATTTTAAGCGAAAACGGTGTATGTTAACGAAGTTCAACAAAATGACCTTTTTTATGTGCAAAACTCCAAAATTTCATAATCTGACATCAAATTCTGGTACAAGATATGTACAAAAAAGTTAAGGTGGTTTTAACCCCACTTCCTATTAATCTGACCCAAACCTCATGAAATTTTTTAAATTGTTATTGTTACGTCTTATTGGTCATAAAAAGTGTAATTAATTTCCTAAATCTCACTTTTCTATCTTTAACGGTTTTGGAGATATTAAATAAAAACCATCTTCAGGGGCTTTCCTTTTGGGGGCTGTAGCTCCCTTAAGAGGCATTTCTTGACCTATGTTTATAGGGACTTTTTTTCTTATTTTTGCACGTAGAATCTGCTGTTAAAGTATGGTGCACTAATTTCAGGACACCCTGTATAGTATTATGAAGTTTGTTTTTAATAACTTAGGAAAATTCCCAACTAATAGTAATTTTCACTTATATTCCACAAGAAGTGGCTCAATATTATGTGTACCGAGACACACAACTTCTTTGTTTAAAAAGTAACCCTATTTTTCTGGCATCAAAATTTTTAACAATTTGCCCAATTATATTAAGGAAACAAAAAATTATAATGTTTTTAAAAGAAATCTTAAAGACTTTTTAATTGAGGAATGTCCTTATGAACTGAATAAATTTTTAGAATAAATTTGTAGGTATTTCCGAGTATATTTAATTGTAGTTCGTGTATTGTATTTCTGTGACTTGTCCTATACATATGAATGTTATCTATGTCAATTGGATTAATAAAATTTATTATTATTATTATTTAATCGAAGCTGCCGTCCTCATTGGACGACCATAACTTTCAAAGTTGATCTATACTTTTAATGTCCATTTGAGGTTTAATTCCAAAAAAAAATAGTACTATCGACCCATCCAAATCACATTCACGTAATTTTTGTACTGTTGCACACATTTATTTAAAAAAAATTTAAATGTTAATAATATATTCACTAGGGTGATTCATTTCCGCAAAGTTTTTGTCTTCTTCGGTGCTCAAGCAAAATATTAATCTGCATATAGAAAAAAAAATTCTCAACAAGTTTGAGCTCTTAATATAAATTTTAAGTACTTACTATTTAAATTTAAAGTTTTACCGTTTAAAATGCATGTAAAAAATATATTTTTTTTTTCAAATTTCTAATGCTTACCCACCTTTGACAGTATTGCAAATCGGTTTAATACACCTTATGGGGAATTTGACGCTCTTTAAAATTGAAGGAGTCGTCAAAGGACAGTTTTTGAAAAAAATCGTTTTTTTTTTAATTTTTTTCTAACAAACCTCAAAAAGTAGGGAGAAAAAAGGGCTAAATCATAAAAAAAGTTATCCAACCAATATTTAATGAATTTACAGCCATTTTTATAACTGAAAACGTAAGAAATTGATAATTACCAACTCATAATGTTATTTAGATTGATTTTTTCTATTTATTATCATTTTATTTCCCTACACTAAGAAGTTTTTTAAAATTATTGATTTCTCACTTATAATGAATATGAAAACAACAGATAAAAAAAACAATAAGAAAATTGTAACGTGGATTTTGCAATTTTTCAACATTTCTGTCATATAGCAAAAAAATATAAATGAGGATTATTTAATTTTTTGAAGCGAAATTTGAAATATGTTACATAACCTTCTGTATATTCCGATTAAAGTTTTGTTATTTTTTTTATGAATTTATGTGTTGTTTTCATATTCATTATGAGTGAGAAATCATAATAATTTTAAAAAAGTTCTTAGTTTAGGGAAATATAATGATAATAAATAGAAAAAATCAATCTAAATAACATTATGGGTTGGTATTTATCAATTTCTTACGTTTTCAGTTATAAAAATGGCAGTAAATTCATTAAATATTGGTTGGATAACTTTTTTTTATGAATCAGCCCTTTTTTCTCACTACTTTTGGCGATTTGCTCAAAAAAATAAAAAAAAAAATGATTTTTTTCAAAAACTGTCCTTTGACGACTCCTAATGGTGAACCAATGCGAGTTACAAAAAAAACTCAAAAGCAATTTTAAAGAGCGTGAAATTCCCCATAAGTTGTATTAAACCGATTTGCAATATTGTCAAAGGTGGGTAAGCATTAGAAATTTGAAAAAAAAAATATTTTTTACATGCATTTTAAAAGGTAAAACTTTAAATTTAAATAGTAAGTGCTTAAAATTAATATTAAGAGCTCAAACTTGGTGAAAATGTTTTTTCCTATACGCAGATTAATATTTTGCTTGAGCACCGAAAAAAACCAAAAACTTTGCGGAAATGAATCACCCTAATATTCACTAGTCACTAGTTCACTGTCTGGCTCTAAAACAAATTAAATTTCATTTTAGATGTAGAAACCGCGACTTTGCATCGATAATCCCTCATCAACCGGCGCGGTACCGTGAACGCCACAACGAGGTGTTTCTGGACTTCGAAGCCTTCCTTCTTAGCACAATGAAAGAACGCTCAACCCTTTGGATCCACTCGCAAATCAAAGCGTGCATGGACTCCGTGGATTGCCAACCTGACTTTTGTTTGGACTTATACGAACCTTCAGGCCATGGAAGAAAAAGACGTAGCGCCCAAATCGAGGAAATAGTGGACAGGCCAACTGCGTCTGCCCTCACTCATTACAACAATACCCAGTTCACCAAGATCAAGGAGAACCTGGAATACACCGTGTTGATGCCTGGAGAGTTTTACCACAGAACAGCGGCGATGGAAAGCAGTTGCAGCACCTTTTTGGTGATAGCAGCTATTTTGGGCTGCCTTCTATTTTTATCAGCATTTATTATGTGCTGGTTGGCCACCAGGTTGCATACTGCAATTTTGGGCGCTGCCAATAATAAAAGCATCGATCAGCTGGTTCGTGAAAGTAGATGTTATTCGGAAAGTGGATACACAGGCCGGGCAACTACGCAATAATTTAATTAATTACCAATTAAGTTTCTCAATTTAAATTAAATAGAATTTAAGCGATCTCAACATGTTTTTTTAAAGGCTAGAAATAGGAGTAGAAACCAAAATAAAGGGGGTGAGGCAAAAAGCGTCTGCAATGGCATGTGTACTTACCGAAGTAAATTGAAATTAAAGGGAAAAGGGACCACAAAATTGAAGTTATTTTTTAATACTTTTAAACATTTTGAGGTCAAATTTATTTTCCTACCTTCAAAATTGACCGAGTTAAGTTTTATGAAATTTTTCTTCGGAAAGCGCTAAAACTTTCACTTTAACGGATTAAAAATTTTCCCTTTAGCAAGTTATAAAATTTTTTAGGACCTAAGCATCCTAAATCAATAAAATTATGAAAACCGATTTCTGTACGCACTGCAGTTTTATTTGTTTTTTGCAGACGTATTCTGCCTAATAAAATACGCGTTAAGCATCGGAAGTTTGTACTTCTGTCTCTAGCCTTCATGGTTAGATGTAACAAAAACTTAAGTTCGGACTCCTTGTGTAGAATCTATAGACTGAATGACAAGTAATTTAAAATACTGGACAAAATGGTACATTGATACCGAGACCATTAAGGCTTTTGACCACCAAGAAAGAAGTAGAAGTAATTTATAAAGGTTATAACCTTTTAAAATTACTTTTTTACTTAGCCTATTATCAAATATGAACTAAAGGTGTTTTTGGAAACATACCTAGGTGCAGTGGTGCACACGGAATTTCAAACGACATCATTTAGTTTTCCTTGATGATACTCTAAATAGCAAAGATATAATAATGACCATATTTGCTTTCGCTACAGTGTTGCCAGAAAACGCTAAACAAAAATTAATACCAAGTTCTCAATTTAATGGTATTTAATGGTACACATAAGTTATATATTTAATGGTGGTAAATGGTAGATACACATTTTGTTTGTATTGTTCAAATTTACCATTTACATATTAACTTACCAATAGTCTAGTCTAGGCAGTTTTCTTGATAGTGAGTTTATTATTCTTAAATTATCAACCACTGAAGTTCTGTGACAGAAGTTTACAGAACACCATTAGCCTACTAGAATAATCCTAGAGGTTTTGTCTACTAGACAAAACCTCTAGAATTATTCTAGTACCCAGATAACACTATGAGGTTCAAAACTGACGCATATTGCAGTCACATCGTGATTGTTAATCCGCACGTATGCACGCATATATGCATCTTTTGCGTCATCAATTGAGGTTCATATAGCCAGCACATGTGATGGTTGGAGAAATTTTTCTGGGCATGATTAACAGGTGAATTTTAGACTTGCCTTAATTTGATTGTTTTTCCTACGTTTAGATTAGTAATTATCTTAAATTTTCTTCGGTTATTACCTGAAGACCATTAGAGATAATTACTAATCGAAACGTTGTAAGAAAAACAATCAAATTAAGACAAGCAAGTCCAAAACTCAGCTGTTAATCATTCATAAAATTGATTTATTGCGAAACTTTGGTCAAAATAGGTAATGTAATATAATATACTATTTGGATTATAATCCAAATAGTATATTATATTATTATACGAGAGATAATGCAGGCTATTATTCACGAGGTTTACGTCTCCTGAATCCGAGTAAATATTGCGCATAATCTCGAGTCTAATACTATACTTTATCTACTTCAATAAGTAGATAATCAAATTATTTTTAAAATTAAATAAATATAATCTGACATCTGTCCAATGGTTAACCTCCCTTTTTACCAATTTTAAATGTTATTATAGTTCTTCCAATTTAAAACCAACCAATCGGGTTTTAAATTAAAAGAACTATAATAACATTTAAATTCACAGTAAATATAGAAATCGGCCAATCACTGATGCCTAACAACGTAAATAATGAGTTTATTATTCACGTTGTTAGGCAGGAAATTTATTTATAATGTTTAACAATTGAATTTTTGAGTTTTTGTGACAATTGTCTACATTTATAGAAATATATTTAATTTTAATTAAAATTAAGTAATTTTTTTACAAATTTATTAATAAATTAATAATAAATTAATTTATAAATGTGATCTTAAGATTAACGTTGATCTTAAGACCAATCCCAATTTGGAATTCCAAATAAAATTATGTATATTTTTTATACAAATGTAGTCTACAAATCCAGTCTTTTCACAAATTAACCATATGGTGTAAGTCAATTTTTTGAAAATTTTAGTTATAATATAGGTAAAGTAAAATCAACAATTTTCGCAAAATTGTAGATGTAATACTAGTTTTACGCAATGCCAGAGTGCACTCTGGCATTTCCTTAATCTAGTATTACATCTACAATTTTGCGATAACTATTTAGCAAAAGTGAAAACTTTGCAATCATTTCATGCCCTCATATACCAATCACGTGCGTATATTCCCATTAATCATAAATTGAATATCATATCGCAGCGTTTTTACCGTCACGCATGATTCCGCACGACGTGAAGGCGATGTGCGTTTTGATGCCACACACGGTTGTTATCTGGGTACCTAAAGTACATTATTCAGAAATTCAGGGAATTTATTGGTTGCGCTGCAAAACATTTAATAGAGGGCGAAGGAAAATGTAATTTGTCTTGCCTATAGGCATAGTGTGTATCAGTGGCGGCTGGTGAATTTTGGGTATACCAATATTTCAGTTATTAGACATGGGACCCACACCAAATGTATAATAGTTTATAATGACATTAAATAGAGAAGTTCGGCGCAAACAGTATTTAAATTTAAGTTTGCGAAAAAAAGTTAGTTTTTCCTGTCGCCTCACCCGCCTCCAGGCCCCCTATTTAAGATAATTCAAATTAAAGTAGTGCAATTTATTATCTACTATAATTTATCGACAAATTTAAAATTTTATTTAAAAAATCCAAATATTACAGGTTTTATACCATTTTAAATATTTTTTTATTTTAATAAAATTAATAATAAAAATTTAAAATCAAATAAAATCTGTAATATTTGGATTTTTTAAATAAAATTTTAAATTTGTCGATAAATTATAGTAGATAATAAATTGCACCACTTTAATTTAAATTATCTCGAATAGGGGGGCCTGGAGGCGGGTGAGGCGACAGGAAAAACTAACTTTTTTTCGCAAACTTCAATTTAAATTCTGTTTGCGCCGAACTTGATTATTTAATGTCATTATAAACTATTATAAATTTGGTAAGGGTCCCATGTCTAATAACTGAGATATTGGTATACATAAAATTCACCAGCCGCCACTGGTGTGTATAGATAGGCAAGGCAATTTTTTTATCATATTTTTATGGTGGCCACAAATTTAGCTTTATATTAAACGAAACCAATGCCGTCTAAAAATAGTGGTATACCTATAAATAATGTTACAAAATCGTAAAAAATTGTACCCCCTTATCCGCAATATTCAGTAATAAAGGACAACAGATAATTTTTATTGAAATGAACTTTTGTCCCTTAAACTCAATATTGTTTGGCTTACCAGGGCAAAATTGACGATGGTACGTAGTACAAAAAAATGGTATACCTAAATACCATTATAATGGTACGACTGGCAACACTGTTTTGCTATCAAAATAACAGATATAGTGAGATGAGTTGTCCATAAAGGCAGTTTAGGTTTTGATGTCAACAGAATGATATTCGTTCAAAATTTCGTGTCGGGTAAAACCGCCAGTATTTATTTTAATGTTGAACATGTAAAATTGATTTTATGTTTTTAAGTACGATTCTAAAAAAAATATTAAAAACAGGAATAAGTGTAAAAGGAATTAATTAAAGCACCTTTGTACATTTACTGAACTTTTACTGCGCAAAGCGCAGTGTACCGTTTTTTGCCTTTCTGTGCGTAGTAAATATACAGAGGTGATTTTACTGTGTTCCTATAATGGCGAAACATTTTTGGCAGTTAAGTTAATATTTATGTAAATATGACCCAAACAAACGCCAGGTTCACCTACCCAGGTGACAAATATTTCACCCATAAAGGTGTCTAAAAACCAGGGCCAGCGAAAGTGGGTACTAGTAGCCGTCTAGATTTCCTAAAGGCTCCGAACTTTAAAAGTTGAGAAATTTCTTTGTCTATTTGATTTATACACTTTGTTAAAAAAGCGCCAACTTCTCAACCTGGTATAAAAAAACTCAGTCTGATCGTCGTTTTTAAATACGAGCTTTTTATGTATCACCAAATAATCCATTACAAACCTCCCCCACCGTCGAACTACCTGTACTAAAAACGTTTCGCTAACCCTGCCAAAAACGCCTTAAAAATTTTACTTGGCATTTGACACATTAAACATGTTTAATGTTTTAAGTGCAGTTTAAATTTTGTTTTATACTTTCGAACACCTACCTAAAAAAATCAACAGACAAAAAGAGACAAGCATTATTAAAAAAAATTCACTCACTGTGTGAGTCTCACATTTTTCTATTCGTCCTTTACTTTAGTGTTTAACAAAGAAGATTTTTTTATTAGTACTTATATATTTTAAATAAGTAGATTAAGTACCTAGTAAATATTTTAATTAATTAGATATGCCTATTCATACATTTTTAAGTTTTACTAAAATTTATAAAAAAATGTTTTTTAGGTAGATAGGTTTATTTAGTGAATGTAATTTTGGCTATACAAATCTGTAATTTAATTTAAATCTGGTACTTACATAGATATTTTTTGGTGGATTTTTGTCAAATTAAAGGCCCTACAAAAATTGGTATACATACCTACATACCTACCTAATGAGTAATCATATATGATATATATTATATATTTGTCTAATATGCATTACCATATCTAAATTTAAATAGAGCTCTATATATACATTAGTATTATTTATTTGCATTATTTATTTATTTATTTATTTATTATTTGTACATACTTAATTTGATTTAAAATAGGAATATTGAAAATATTTTTTTAAAGAAAGTTGTTAACAATCAGAATATTTTACATGTTGATAGCATTATCAAATTTCTATGAAAAAAAAATGTTTTCAATGTTGAGTGGGTGGGTTAAACACAAAATATTTTTAATATGCACAGTTAAGTTTTGTTAAGCTAAACATAAGCTCGATTATAAGCTATATTAATTAACAATAATGTACAAAGATATGTTTATGATTTATTAAAAAAACTGAAATTGTAAAGGGCTTTAATTTATGACCCTTAAAAACTTTAATTAAATAAAAATTCCTGGATACGGGCCTGTGTAAGATCAACGTGTACGTTCGACAACTGTCATAAAGTGAGGTTATATTACATAACCTTTGTTTATGTTTATATTTTAAACATGGCAAATAAAAGTGCCTTAGCTCTTATTTGTATCTATGGTGAAGACAGTTCAGACGACGATGTTTCAGGCCCCAGAGTGTCTACAAAACGAGTGCATAAAGATGAAGACGAAGAAAACGCCGTAAAAAGACGGGAACGGTATAATAAATTACCTTACATAAAATTGTGTTTACAAATTCATGTTATTTTAGATTGCCCCTTCCAAGTGAATTCCAAAAAGTTGAAAATGTATCTGAATATACAGATGATCCATCTAATCATGAAGGACGATTAAGATCTTTTCCTCATGAAAGGGGAAACTGGGCAACATATATTTATATTCCTTGTGAGTAGGTAGTTATAAAATAAATTAATAACAAATAATGGGTATAAAATCGACATACGTCTTCAACATTTACCACTAAAAAATTAGAGAAGATATTAAAGGTTATGTGTACCTAGCTATGATTAAAAAGTTGTTATGAACCTATGTCCATTGCTTCTTTCTGAGATACAAGCCTTTCGGTAATTCCTTCTAGAACATAAAAGATAAATTATTCAGATTTCTTATTCATTTAAACTATTTATTTAAAGTATTTTTGTTTTTAATATTACACCTACGGTAACTGGCTGGCTATTTTTCCAATCATTTAGCCTTTATCCTTATCACCTATTTTTTAATAAATACAAACTTTCAGTATTTTTTAATATGTTTAGAAAGTTTATTTATTAATTAGTTAATTAATTAATAGGAAAACATACCCAGTATTATATTTTTTTAAATACTTTAATATATATAGTTCCTTTAGATACAGGTACCTATGTAAATTCATAGCAAAAACTAATCTCCAAGAGAAAGCAAAATTCAAATCATAGATAAAATAGACGTTTTAAATTTTTTTTTGTATTGTGTATTTTACAACTTCTATATTGTTTTTTATTTGATACATATTACCTAGTTTTAAAACTATAAAACATTCACGAAAATTTCAAAAAATATATAATAATTCTGGACTAGTGTTAATAATTATTAATTTGATTGTTATCCTCTCTTGTAAAAGGTGCTATACTGTGTTCATTAGTACTTTTCATATAAAATCAAAATAAATATAAAAATTGTTAGTTTGATAGCTTATCTTAAGGATCACATTTCCCAAAACAGCGGGCTATGGAATTTGTTTTTATGAATTTTGAGGAAAAATCGCTTGTAAAATGTTTTTATAAAATTGAAGTTTTAGTTAAGAAAAAATCCTGCAATCATTTTTAAGTTTTTAATCCCTGCTGTATAAATTTTATCTAAATCCATCCAATGGTTTTTAAAATATAGTAAAGTTTTACAGCTGCCTATAAATAGTAAAAGTACTGTACAGTTATTACTTATAGGGTATCTTTAAAACTATTTATCAGGTTGATTAAAACCTTTATAATTGTTTTTAACTGTTTCTCTTTTGTTTTAAATGCATCGTTTGGTTTCAAATTAAAAAAAAAACATATTTCAGGTTTCAGAAGTTTACCCATATTGCAAATAATTAAATTTATATTTTAGATGACAAGGACCATTTTGGGATACAAGATTTATTTTCGAAAATACAACTGATAATACCGTCCACTATTGAAATTAAACCAGTTGATGATTTACACATAAGTTTAACAAAAACGGTAATTTTAAAACATCATTGGATTCAGTCTTTCTCTGACTCAATTAAGGAAAATACTATTTTTATCAAAAAGTTAGTATACCACCACTTATCTTTCATTATACCTCCCTAAAATATTATTTTTCCATGCTAAGAAAGTATAATTTCTGTATACTAAACTAGAAAAAGTTTCCCACTTTGACATTTAAGTTTAAGTCCAATTTCGTCTAATTTAATGTAATATAACAACGTGACATTTTTTATATTGTATTTTTTACTGGATCTAGAATGAAAATACTCAATACATTGTATTTTTTCACTATATATCAGTGCTTCAAACATTTAAATACAATGCTCCTTATTAATGCCATTTATTAAGGAGTCCTTAATAAATGGCATTGCAACAAAATTTTCATGAAATGCTTTAAAATTTGACTCCCACTAAGTGCTCATACCCATTTTAGACACTGTAGTTATTTTTAAAAAATCCATTTTTTTAAATGAAAAATAAAGGCAAACTATTTTTTTTTAAATTATTATATTTAGGCTTGTTTTCAAAGATATATTGTTAATTACACGCCCATAAAAGCTTTTCCCGCACTCCTAATAAAATATAATAAATTAATATTAATATTGCTTATTTTTCAGATGAATGATATTGCCTTTTTTTCAGATTTATGATAATGTTTGATGGTATAAAGGTTTACTGTAATGAAGAGAGAACAAGAACCTTTTTGGGTATAACAGTAAAATCTGGTCATGATTCCCTAATAAAACTAGTCGAAATATTTGATAGGTGTTTATTGGAATACAAGCTTTCCACGTTTTATAAGGTACCTATTTTAACTTTTTAATATTAAAAATATTATAAAAATGTATTTTAGGATCCATCATTTCATATGAGCATTGCATGGGTTCAAGGAGATTTTAAAGAAGAACTTGGCAAATATGTGACTGAAATAAATAATGTATTTATTCAATTATTAAATACTTATACACAGGATACTTGGTACATCTATGTAAATTATTTATTATGTAAGATAGGAAACAAATCGTTTCAATTTAATCTTTGTTAATTTTAAAGTTCAACACATGTTTTAAAATTTTTAATGTTTCCCAGCTCTATTTTTATTAAAATTATTTAAGTAATACCGTTGAGTATATTAATCAATGGTAATACTTAAAAATGACAAATGGCTTTTAAAGTTGGAGTTCTTTAAAATATTCAAAAATTACTGATAAATATTGTAGATCTGCGTTTTATAAAAGTTTCTTACTTAAAGCAAGAAACACGTTGATATATTTAATTTATAATTTCTCAAAGAAACATTTTAAAAATAATTTAATAAAATAGACAATATTTGAAGCTTTATAAATTAATCTTCTCTGTGGATATCTGTCATTAGAGAAGAAAATAAAAATTTAATTTAATTTCGTATTGTGCTTAATTTTCACGATCACTACAAACACTAATGTTATTTTAAAATAAAGTATACTTTATTATAAATTATTATATTAATATTAATAATCATATCGTTTATTTTCAAAAATTTGCACATAAAATTAAAAGAGAACCTACAATTATATATACAAAAGAGAAAAAAGTCAAAAAATACATTCAATGTAAAAACAAATCCTGAAAGGAATATGTCTTCAGATCACAAAAATAGTCAAACAATTTTTTCCCAAGTAAATTTAAGTTGTTAATTTCCTTAATATCAGTTGGTAAACTATTAAATATCTTTACACTTGCATAAAAACAGCCCTTTTCATATATTGATCGCCTATGATAAGGGTAATATATTATTATAATAATGCTTATGTCTTGTGCATAAAGATTTAAGATCTTGAAATAAAATTTTGTTTTTTTTTTTAATTATAGTCATATAGTATGTTGATTTTCATTTAACATCTTCTGAATGGTATCCATATTATGTATTTTGTTTGTTTTATTTTGTTGAGCTTAAACCCTTTGGTTCTGCTTTAAATATTTCATTGTGTAACTTCGCTTTTTCGAAAAAAAGTATATTTTTTAATTAATAGACCTTTGGGCGAAGTTTTAGGTCTATAAAGTTGTGGCAGTTATTCTGGATCTGCAGCCAATTTAAAACTTTCACTTGAGCCATTTTTCCATTTTGGTAATTTTTTAATTTGGAAGTTGTAGTAAGAAAATCGGTCTTGAAGATATTCTTGAAGCTCTTTGGTTTCGGTACCAGGTGATGCTCTACCTACATAAATCCATGTTCTTCGAGGAACAGCCGTAAGACCACCTGTTATTTGGTCTTTATTGGATGTAACTGCTGCCTCCCTGATAGCACACCCAAGTAACACCTCGTGAAGAAATCGTTGCAAAATTTGTTACGATTTCTACTTGTCGTGAGCTCAACGTGATCCCGAAAATTTATAGATTCTGTGACTGATACAGTGGCCAAACCGCACTAATTTTAACCCCCGAAATCTTCACGAAGGCGTGCCTACAAGTCGTGACAATTTCTTTATGTTTTTTATCACAATAATGTGACGAATTTGACACTAAATCCGTGGTAGAATCTGCTTTGCAGTTTTGTGACGAATTAGTGACGATTATTATTTACTGTCAATGCATACTTATTAAATTTAATCACTTCCTGTCCATGGTCGCTCAATAATGAAAGCTAAATTTCTTTAAAGTTTGTTTACAGAAATTTAGCTTTCATTATTGACCCACCATGGTCAATAACCGATTAAATCTAATATAAGTATGCATTTATAAATATACAGTATACAGTAAATAATAATAACCAAATTACATAAATTAATTTCCTTTGCTAAATAAGACACATTTATTAATTAATTATTAATTATTTATTAATAAAAAATGTACATTTAATTACGTACTAAAGTTCAAAGACCCGTTTTTGTGGGTATACAAAAATATTCTATGTATAGAATAATCATCACAGGCAGAAAAACTAAACCAGTAAACAAGGTCACCTGTTACGTCGCATGTCTACTCATCCACTCGACAAAATAATTTCTGGGAACATTTTCGTTTCGCGCTGACCGGCGCGACTTCGACTTGTCTGTTCCACCTACAATGTATTTTCCCTATGTATAGCTTGCAAATGAAGGTACGGTATATAAATTATTGAAAACAACGTCATCAATATATTGCAACAAATCTATACCGAAAAGAATACAATTACTGAACTAATAGGAATTTTAGCAAAATTGCAAGCCAAAGTAATTAAAACAATTTAAATTAAACTCAATTAAACTCACCTTATCTATAAACCATTGAATAAGAACAAATGATAACAATAAAAACAACAAAAACGCAGCACGTGTGTGGGGCAGCGTCTCTACAAAACAACGTCAATGAAAATGGCTGACCAGAGAATCTGACAGAGATAAAGAAGGTTATAGAACGCCCTCTCTCGAGAGATCTCGTTCCTAAAAACACGAGAACGTCTCGAATAAAGTGCACTGCAAACGTCACAAATTTTCTATGAAGTATCTATTTAAAAAGTTACTTTATAACGAAAAATCTTCACGGTTCCGTCAAAAATTTAGAAGTGACGCAGGCGTCACCTTCATTTTGATAACGTATTTATATAAAAATGTACTTTATAAAGAACGAGCGGTGTAGCGGTCATTGAGGAGTGGAGTGTTGGTGATATGAGTGACTTGGGTGCCACCTGTCATTGGAGGCTTTTCACTGGACGGACGGGGGAGGTCGGAGAAGAGGGGAGGTGGTCATCCGCAAGGGGAAAAATCTGATAAGTTTTACTTTAAGAGTATGCATGACCTGATACAAATCTGCAATATAAATACGGCAGATCCCGGCAAGCATTTTCCGTTACTTGTCTCCATTAACATTGCCCGTATTCATTTCATTAAACATAACATTTATTTTACTTGGAAATGTTAAAATAACTTTAAAATATGATTATGTTAAGAACATATTTTACTCTTTAAACAATTGTTTTGTTTTTAATTACTATCATTGCAAAATTGTATTAAAAAGTGTTAAAAATTCTTACACGGGCAATGCTAATGGTGTTAGGCATCGTTAAAGTGTTTATTGGGATATCTTTATAATCTATGAAGGGCGCGCGGCGTGGGGCAATAAGTCTGTCAACGGCAAGTGCGTAAAGCGGTCCCAATCGAGACCGAAATAAACACTGGACTGACAGAGTAAACTAACATTGATCACATATTTCTAACACATTAAAAAAAAGGGCCTAATAGCCAAACTCGAGATTTGTAAACATTAGACGACAGAATGATCGCGCTTGTGATTTGTTGGACTAGTGAATAAATGCAATGCCTTGGAATTTGATAAACAAAGACGGAACTCTACCACAAAACGTGCTTGGGACAAAAATTATTAAAAACAACTGACACACTTTACCAAGGGCAGGAGCTATCTGACCAGGACACGGACAACGACAATAACGAACAAGACAAAGACCTCGACTACACCCCTGCAGCGAAATAACAACTCCCCAACTCCAAATAGTAATCCCAAATGTTTGGAGTAAAACTAATCGACTGGTCTAGGGGGATTCCGCGTCGTACTTAGTTTTAAGTCGGCGTAATTGTCCCCCAAAAACCAACTCCCTCCCGTCCCTCATCCACACCCCACCGAGCGTATAGCATAGGCTCGGCGAACCCGGGAATGGCTACTATAACTATTCGCCTCTCGCTCTCGAGCCCCAAATAGGGGACAGTACGAAACGCAATGGACATTCGCACCCAGCAAACACGGGTGAAGCCGTGCAGTTGCTGGGGAAGAACAAAAATCGGCGCAAGTAAACATAGGCCTGTACGGGGTTCGCGAGTCAAGAGGAAATGGGGCTGGTTATACGTCTCTTATACTCATACTCATACTCAATGTACTTTATAAAGAACGAGCGTGACGATTTCGTGAAATCTAGTAGAATGCCGTCACGTCGTGTTACTTGGGCAGTTTATTCTAAGAATGTTTTTTAAACCTTCCAGTGGGAATATTCTTAGGATCATGCTATATTTCTTCTAGTCATGTTCTAAGAATGTTTTTTAAACCTTCCAGTGAGAATATTCTTAGGATCATGCTATATTTCTTCTAAAGAACATGCTTAAAAGAAATATAGCATAATCCTAAGGCCTATATATAGGTTCTTAGAAGGTGCAAAGTTTAGTAGTAAAAATTAATCCACTCTAAACATATGCTTAGAATGTTGAGAAAGTAATTGCTTTAGAAAGTTCATTTAGGAATATTCCTGGAACATTCTGTTAAGCATATTCATTTCAGTTATGTACCTATATAATCGTAAAATATACCATAATCTATACCCACACGGAACAATTACATCCAATGGATATCCAATGGATTTATTTTATGGATATCCAGGATATACATAGGATATCCGGGATATCCATTGGATAACCATTGGATATATAAATGTCCGACCCTCCTGGACATAGTGTGGATATCCAATGGATATCCAGTGGATATAGTATTGTATGCAATAAGGTTGTAATCTGTATTCAATATGGAGATTGTATGGATATCCAATGGATAGGGTATTTAATGCAATATGGTTGTCATCTGTATTGGATATGGTGAATCAATGGATATTTACTTTTCAATAAATAACATTGGGTTTTAAAATAAAAGTCTTATTCTTTAATTTAAATATTTATTTTTATGAAAACATAAAAAAGAACAGAAAACTACATATAACTAAAGAAGTGAAGTCTCTGGCTTGCCATTACTCCTCCAGCAGTCATTTGCCTTTTTATCAGCCTAATCATTTAGGGCCTATTTCACCTGTCTCCTTATGATCCCCAAAATTTGGCCAATCCATCAGCCCATTTGTTACCCTCGAGCCTATGTATAGCTTGCAAATAAAGGTACGGTATATAAATGCATGCATGTATTCACATTTAATGTTTTACCTTCAATGCTAACCAAAAGTTTATAAATTGCACTTAAATATACCTATTTAATTTAAAATTGTATTAGTTTTAGACCAATACAATTTAAAATGATAACTATGATTAGAAAATTAATAAAATATTCACTTACCACTAGAGACCTCAAACAAATAACCACAAAACACAATAACTTGGCAATAAACTTTATGACAAACATATA